CGTTCACATGCCACTCTCAGTTAAGTCCAATTTGCTGTAATCTTGGTAAATGGGAGCTAATCAGTGAGCCTGAGATCCAGCTCAGAGGCAGCAGAGATTAAATTTCTGAAAAGCCATAACAGAGGAGGCTGGGTAAAAGGCCTCGTGATAACACCTGGCATCTATACTATAGTAGATGGCTCTCACGGTTCGGATAGGACATTTACTGGAATTATAAACACGTATGTAATTGGAAAAGCCTATAAGTGAGCTGTTATTTCTTCTGATACCCCTGCATGGTTATTAATATTGATACTGGAGCCCCTGTTTCTTTGACATAATTTCCTTAGAAATAAATTTAAAAGATTTATTTATTTATTTTTATTATAAAAGCAGATACAAAGAGAGAAAGAAAGACAGAAAGCTCTTCTGTCTATTGGCTCACTCCCCAAGTGACCACATTGGCCAGAGCTCTGCTAATCTGAAGCCGGGTTTGAGGTGCTTCTTCCGGGTCTGCCATGCAGGTTCAGGGTCCCAAGGCTTTGGGCTGTTGTCTTCTGCTTTTCCAGGCCACAAGCACAGAGCTGGGTAGGAAGTGGAACAGCTGGGATTTGGACTGGCTCCTGTATGAAATGCCAGTTTGTGCAATGTGAGGCTTCAGCCATTGAGCCACCTCACCAGGCCCGACCGTAAAACTATAGAGTTCTATATGGAGGCACATTAATTACATGTGAACAATTCAAAACTTTATATTTAGGATCCTTAAAAGATTTCATTTATTTTCACTTATTTGAAAGGTGGAGTAACAGGGATCTTTTATGTGCTGATTAACTGCCCCAAATGGCCGCAATGGCTGGAGCTGAGCCAATCTGAAGCCAGGAGCCAGGAGCCATTCTTTCAAGATCTCCCACACAGGTGCAGGGTTCCAAGGCTTTGGGCTATCCATCACTGTTTTCCCTGGTCACAAGCAGGGTGCTGGATGGGAAGTGAAGCAGCTGGGACACAAACCAGCGCCCATATAGAATGCCAGTACTTGCCAGCAGATCATTAGCCAATTGATTTATTGTGCTGGGCCCAATTTTTCCCTCTTTTTTTTTTTAAAGATTTATTTTATTTTCATTATAAAGTCAGAGGCGGAGAGACAGAGAGGAAGATCTTCCATCTGATAATTCACTCCCCAAGTGAGCGCACCAGCTGATGCTGCATGGATCTGAAACCAGGAGCCAGGAACTTCCTTCAAGTCTCCCACACGGGTGCAGGGTCCCAAGTCCTTGTGCCGTCCTCAACTGCTTTCCCAGGCCATAGGCAGGGAGCTAGTTGGGAAGTGGGGCTGCTGGGATTAGAACCGGTGGCTATATGGGATCCAGGTGCATTCAAGACAAGGACTTTAGCCACTAGTACACGGCACTGGGCCCCAATTTTTCCCTCTTTTCAAGATTTATTTATTTATTTGAAAGGCATAATGATAGAAAGGAGGGCTACTGAGAGATCTTCTGCTCCTTGGTTCCCTTCCCATATGCTTCCACTATGGGATGCAGGTGTCCCAAGCTGAGATTTAACTTGCTGTATCAAAGAATTTGCTTGAAGGATTCTTGCTTGAGCATGTGTTTCCTTGGCAAGACCTATTTCCTCTTAGATGGTTATAGTTTTGGGGGAGATTTTTGTTTGGGCAGGTTTGCTAGAGTTTTAAGGGGCTGGGATTGAAACCTTCACAAGCCATTCTTTGGTATTAATATGGATCACATTTATATATTGTTGTCAAATTTTCTTTGATTAACTGAAAAAGAGAGGTATGCGAGAATACTTGTCATCCTATTCTATTCCTTCAGAAAACTAAATATTATGAACCACTTGATAAGTTACAATGACTGTTTCTGTCAAGATTTATTTTTCCAGTTTAATGAAAGACTACAAGCTACTATACCATGATCCAATAGCTAAATAATTAATTAGATGGGGAGATCACATTCATTGGCCAGAAATCATCATACATCCAGAACCACTATTTTTTTAAAGATTTATTTATTTTTATTGGAAAGTCAGATATATAGAGAAAGTAGATACAGAGAAGAAGATCTTCCTTCCATTGATTCACTCCCCAAGTTGCCACAATGGCTGGAGCTGCATTGATCCGAAGCCAGAAGTCAGGATCTTCCTCGGGTCTCCCACATGGGTGCAGAGCCCCAAGGCTTTGGACTGTCCTCAACTGATTTCCTAAGCCACAGACAGGGAGCTGGATGGGAAGCAGGGCTGCTGGGATTAGAACCGGTGTCCATATGGGATCCTGGCACATGCAAGGTGAAGACTTTAGCTGCTGAACTACCACACCAGGCCCGGAGACAATATTTTTTTTTAATCATTTTATTTATTCAAAAGGCAGAGTTAATAGAGATAGAAAAAAAAAGAGGGAATGGGAAAGAGAGAGGAATCTTCCATCCACTAGCTCATTTCCCACATGGCTATAATAAACAGGGCTAGGCCAAGCTTAAGCTAAGAGACAGGGGCTTCATCCATTTGTCCCATGTGGGTACAGGGCTCCATGAACTTAGGTCATCTTGCACTGCTTTCTCAGGCCACCACCAGCGAGCTGGACTGGAAGTGGAGCAAGTATCCAGCATGTAACACAGAGGTAACTATAGTACTTAAGTTGCGAGAGCTCTTTACTTATCCATGCTATAAACTGCCACTTTGTACCCTTCGGCCCACAGCTTCCCATTTCCCTGAATCTATCCAACTTGTCTCACTGTGTTGTTTCAGCTCTTTTGCTTTCTTGCATTTGTTTGTATGTCAAATGTAATTCTATTATTTTCATTTATTGGAGTGGTGGAGAGGACTCCCTTCTGCTAGTTCACAGATACCCACAGTGGCCCAACAGGGAGCTAGAAGCGCAGTTCCGGGCTCCCACTGGTGGAAGGAACTCCGCGACCTGAGCCTTTCCAGCCTTCCTCCAGGCCTCCCGTGGCAGGAGGCTGGATTCAAGAGGCAGACAACCGAACACAACACGCTGACATGGGTGTGCTCGTCTTCCCACTGAGGCAAATGTCTGCCCCCCAAAACATGCTTCTTGGTGTACACTGAGAGGAATACCCCAAAGTCAGTATAGGGGTACTTCAGGAAGTTTGTGGAAAACGAGGAAATCCTTGCATGGGGGTGGGGGTCTTCAAGTAGTTCACCAAAAAGCATCTAAATTAAAAAAAAAAAAAACACCTATGTATAGTTTTAAAAAGTCTTTATCCAAATTATCTTTCAATTATATTCTTCCAGGTAGATTTGAAGAAGATTCCCTCATTTCTGCAGAGGACAGAAATAATTTTGTGTGTTTCTTTCTTTTTCCTCTATAAATGAAAAAAAAAAATGTTGTATGGGGCCTGGCCTGGTAGCCTAGTGGCTAAAGTCCTAGCTTTGCATATGCCAGGATCCCATATGGGCACCAATTTATATCCTAACTGTTCCACTTCCCATCCAGCTCCCTGCTTGTGGCTTGGGGAAGGAGTGGAAGATGGCCCAGAGTCTGGGGACCCTGCACCGCCATGGGAGAGCTGAAAGAAGCTCCTGGCTGGCTCCTGGTTTCAGGTTAATGCAGGTCTGATCGTTGCGGCCACTTGAGCAATGAAGCAGGGCACAGAAGATCTTTCTGTCTCTCCTTCTCTCTATAATTCTGACTTTCCAGTTAAAATAAATAACTTTTTAAAAATGATTTTGAGTAATGCAAAATGTTAATTTCAATTGATTTACAGTGAATAAGTGGGTCACACTTGCAGGCCAAAGGGATGGAGATGGCAAAAAAAAAAAAAAAATCATACAGTACATCGAACAGAATGGCAACGTATATTTTCCAAAGGTTATATGTCATTCACCTTGTGCAATTAAGTATGAAAGGCATGCTTGAGAAAATGCTTACATGTTATTAAAAAAAAAAGGCAGTGACTACAAAAAATGGGGATGGGGGGGCGAACCTAATGTAGAAAAAAAAAGAATCCATTTATTCGTCAAGTATTTCTTGAGCTCCCAGCATCTGCCAGGCGTAAGCGTAAGCGTTCACAACCAGCAGGTCTGACTTGGTTCCCACAGAGGACCGCACTGCCCACGGTAATTCACCTCCCAGGGACAGACGGGCAGGGCCTGGCGCAGCCACGTCATCGCAAGCCGAAAACGCCGTGACGTCCGCTACGGTGTCCCGCTAGGAAATGGTAGCGCGGCGGAGGGCGACGTGTTCCGCCCCTGTGAAAGATGGCGCTGGGCGCGTCAGCCGTCCCTGCTGCCAGGTCCTTCTCTCCGGACGCAGGATCTAGGCAGTAGCAAGTGTGCGTCAGGTGCGATGCGTTTTCGTTGTCCCAGCTCTTTGTGCGCTTCGGTGGCTCTCACAGAATCCGCCGAGTACCCGAAGGGAAGCCTGTGAGCCAGTGGCCAGAAGATAGCGAGGCGGGTAGAGCCGCCCGGCGAGGCGCCCTCGGGAGCACTCGGGGTGCGCCGGGGAGTGGGGGCGTGCCGGGGGCGGGGCTGCGGTTGCGGGTTCCTGCACCCGCCGCGGTGGCCGAGGCGCGGGCGGGGACGAGGGGGCGACTGAGGTGCCGGTGGGTAAGGCGGTGGGGTCAGGTTGGCGGGGCGGCGACGGGGGGGCTCTCGTGGGGCTCTCCGTGGGACTGGACGCGTCCCCCCGTTTCTCCCCTCTCCGTTCTCCTGGCCGGAGCCGGGCATCGAGCTTGCCAGCCCCGCGACTGCTGGAGTTGGCTGCGTCTGGGCCCCGGCTTCCCGGGCGCGGCGGCTGCGGGTCCTGGGGGTCGGGGTTCTCGTGTGCCCTCGGCCCGCTGTCCTCCCGTCTGCTGTCTCTGGGGACACAGGCGGCACCCCCGCGGGAGCGCGGCTGCTGCTGCTGCTGCTGCTGCTGCTGCTTCTATGGGGTGGCAAGAAAGGAGCGTGGGGCGCCAGGAGGCCTTGCCCGTGGAAAGGGGGCGCGGGGTTCCTCCTTCGCACCGAACGGAGCTGGTGTGCGGTGGCTTGGGATGTGGGCGTACTTGCACGCCCACAGAATTGCAGCAGAAGTTTGCAAGGAGTGTGGGTGTTCAGCAGTGCTAGACAGGGTGTACTCGCATTCTGTGGGAAGGGACCTGGTTGCTCCACACTTCTGAGGTTAACACACTCAGGGAAAGGAAGTGCCCAGCGTGACTTGGGGTGCTATGTGATGGTAATCGGTTGCAGAAAGAAGTACTGTGATTGCCTGTCTGCCTGTTCGGGTGAACTGTGCGCGTTTTTGTTTTGGGGACGGGTCATATACTTGGCCAGAAGGGATGGCCCTTTCCCCAGGCAGTGGAGGTCGTTAGGCTGTAATGGACAAACAATCTGGTTGAGGCAGCTAGAAAAATTCCCTTCCAGGCTGTTCTCATTCATCATCCGCTGCAAAGCAAGGGTTCCTAATCTGGTATTACTTCTGCTTTGTACAAACGGTTCCGAAAAAGTAGTTGAAAATAGCGTCAGGCTTGATGTTTCTCTGACTTCAGAAAACTTTTAGCGCCTTCTGGAGACATGAAGAAGCAAGGCTTTAGTGCATGGAATGTCGACAGTGGGCAGTCAGAACACTTGCAGGTCGGTAGGTTCCCCTTTAGCCTTGAGCCAGGGGATCCAGTCCTGGATTCTCCTACCAAGCTCTGCATATGTAATGTTTTTGCTACGTGGACATACCTATGGTCAATTTTAATTTGTGCTTTAGATGTAGTAATTTGGGATGAGTGTACTGTACTGTAATAACATTGTCTGCATCACTCTCCTTGTGCTTTGGGACCACTACTCAGTGAAATAAGGGTTACTTGAACACAAGCACCGAGGTACCAGTCAGTCAGATAACCTAGACTGACAGCCTAGATGGCTTCGAAGTGGTCAGCCAGGCAGCACAGAAACACTGGCTACTGAATGAGCAGGATGACTGTAGATTTTATCACACCACCCGGAAAGATGCAGTTTAAAACATACAAAGTGTTTACTTCTAGAATTTTCCACTTAGTATTTTAGGACCAAGGTAGACTATGCGGAACTGAAACTGTGGGAAATGGAAGGACAGGTAAGGAGAGGACTAGTGTATGGAGGTTTTATGTGATGCTGATTAACCCCACTATTCTAGGAAAATATCCCAGACCTTCTGGAAACTACCTTAAGATGACTGTACTTCCTATGTACATGATATGGGTGAGACACTTCACAGACCACACTGCAAACGTGTGCTGAACCTGCTCCAGGAAACAGTTACATGCAGCCTACCAAGTTGTTAAGATCATGTATGTATTTGTTTGTGTTGGCAGCCGGAAACTTTTTTTTCTATAGAAGGTGAACTTCCGGTCCAGCCTGCCCTTGGGCTATGTTAAGTAGGTCCAAGAAATGATAGGTTTGCTTCCCTGTTAGCTGAGAAATTTGGTTGGGTAAAAGATGCCCAACTAGAAATATCATGAGCATTGCCTGCCATCTTGCCTGATATTGAAAATTGACGAAGTGTTACAGTTTGATGTTACAAGCAGTCCATTCTCCTTCAGATGTCCTGGTCAACTTGTGTTCTGGAAGGTGGACTGGTTTAGGACTCAGCTAGCTACTGGGAGAAAATAATCAGAAAGCGTAATTTCAAGAAGTAATGGTCTTAAGATGGTTGAATTCTGATTGACGCTGGCAGTTAACCAACCAGCATTCTGAATCCCAATCAGAAAAGAGTTGATTTTTTTCATTTTTACCAGATTTTTTTCTTTTCTTTTTTTTTCTCTAAAGGAAAATCTCAAGCCCACCACTTTGCTAACCATTTTAACAAGCTAATTAACATAACCATATATTTGCATATGTGAGATTTTATTTATAAAATGTATAGGTAAGCCCTCATGAATCCTGTGCTTTGTCTACAGGGATGGCAAGCCATTGTCTCACCCAATTCCTATCCTGGCTTCCCTCAAAAAACTGTGGCTCATGTTTCATAATGTACTTAAAATTGGTAGATTAAAGCTGTAGTTTTTGAACAGACTTTTCTTCAACATATTGTATAAATGGATTTTTCTGACTACGGACATTGACAATTCCGTAGTTATACTTCTTTGTTATGTCCTGTCTCAGGTGATAGTAGTCCCTTACATTTGTGGTTTCCATTTTTGTTTAAAGATTTATTTATTTTTGTTGGAAAGGCAGATTTATAGAAAGAGAAAGGGTAAGATCTTCCATCTGCTGGTTCATTCCCCAAATGGCCACAATAGCTGGAGCAGAGCCAACCCAAAGCCAGGAATCAGGAGCTTCTTCTGGGTCTCTTGCGTGGGTATAGGGTTCCAAGGCTTTGGGCCATCTTGTAGTGCTTTCTCAGGCTACAACCAGGGAGCTGGATAGGAAGTGGAGCAACCAGGACGTGCACCAGTGCCCATGTGGGAACCTGGCACTTGGAGATGGAGGATTAGCCAGTTGAACCATTGTGCCTGGCCCTGTGGTTTATATTTCTGAGGTTTCAATTGACCTGTGATCAACAATTCATAAGCTGAGAGTTGTGTATCATTATGAGTAGTATGATGAAATCTCAAGCTCACTTTGTCCCATGGGGAACATGAATCACCTCTTGTCCAATGTCTCCATGCTTTATACACTGCCTTCTAATTAGTTGTTTAATAGCCGTCTCCATGGTCAGATTAGCTGTCATGGTATTGTAGGGCTTGCGTTCAAATCACTCTTATTTTACTTGTAAGGACACCTTTCCTTGGCATTCCAAAGGAAAGCCTGTAAAGTGTATAGTTTAAGTAAATGTGCAAAGGTTCTCCATTTAAGGAAAGAAAAAGAAAATTCTTATGTTGAGAATACCGAGAGCTATGGTGAGAATGATTTTTCTGTTGTTGAAGTTGTGAAGAAGGAAAAAGGAATATGTGTGTGTTTTGCTGTTGCATCTCAGACTGCAAAAATATCACCAGAGTATGGGATAAGTGCTTAGTTCAGATAGAAAAAGCATTAACGTTGTGAGTGGAAGAAATGAACAGAAAATAAATCCTAACTAAAGGCTGCATGTTTTGCCCAAAACACTTTAGTTTGTGCAAAGACTTCCACAAGGGAGCCCTTAAACATGATATCAAGACATTTACTAGTAGGAAATAAGGGATAGATTGAGGAATAGATCTGGACTGAAAAATATAAAAGTTCCTGGGGAGGCTACATGGCAAGCTGGTGGGGGAAACATGCTGACATGTTTGATGAAGAAGTAGAAGAGCACATTAAGACCACTGAGAGATGTCACCAAATGAGGATTGGAAAATTACCGAAATTTACCTGCAGAGGAAGAGGGAGATGAGGCCAAAGCTGAAGTGGAACCAGCAATAGAGTGTTAACTGCTGCAGGTCACTGAAGTAGTACTGATGGCACAGGCAAGGACAGAATTATGCAACATCCTTGGGAGGAGCAAGGATTGAAGGACAACATTGAAGTCACCCTGCTTTTACTACAGCATTATAAACTCTGCGTAATACTTGCATGAGTTAAAAAGAGAGAGAGGCAGGTTTCCAATTACATGGTTCTTCAGAAGTTTCAGCCAAAAATTGTAAGCTGTCAAGACTCCTCTACTATTATTACCATTGTCTGTGCCTGTCCAGCCTTGCACATCAGTTCAGCTGGGTAACCCAAGATTACCTGAAGCAGATGACCCTCCTCCTGACTTACCAAAGATGAGTAGTAGTCTTAACGCCCAGTCCCCACACTTCATCTCGTGTGCTAGGCACTGTATCATTTCATCTCAAGAAGGGTGGAGACACAAGAGTGCGATGTTTTGAGACAGACAATATTCACAGAACTTAGATTTTTCATGTAGTGTTATAATTGTTTTATTCAATCATTAGTTGTTAACTCTTATTATGCTTGATTTAAAAGTTAAGTTTTATCAAAGGTTTGTGTGTATAGGAAAAAACAGTGTATTTGTGAAAGGGTTAGCTACAATCTGGGAACAGGCATCCACCGAGAATCATGGAATATATTCCCAGAGAATTCTGGAAGATTACTCTCTGTTTTAGCAGGACTTATTTATTGAAAGATATGTTTTATCTGAAAGGCAGAATGAAAAAGAGAGTTGTAGGAACAGAAAAAGGAGATTGTCCATCTGCTAGTTCACTCCTCAGATGGGCACAGTAGCCAGGACTGGGAAAGGCTGAAGCATACAGTGCTGAACTCCATATGGTATCTCACTGAGTTTCAGGGGTTCAAGTCCTAACGGCATCATCTGCTGCCTTCCCAGGTGCATTAGGAGGGAGCGATATGGGAAGCAGAGCAGCCAGGACTCAAACCGGAGTTATTGAAAAGCAGAATTAGAAAAAGGGAGAGGGAGCGAAACAGACAGAGAGAGAGAGGTCTTCCACCTGCTCTTAAATGCCCCAAATGATCACAATGGCCAAATCCACTCTCCAGGAGCTTCTTCCAAGCATCCCACATGGGTACATGAGCCCAAACACTTGGCTAATCTTCCACTGCTTTTCAGGAGCATTAGTGGGACCTGGGTTGAAAATGGAGCCACAGGCCTTGAGCTGCTGCTGCTGGGGGGATGCTGGCACTATAGGTAGTGGCCTAAGGTGCTACACCACAATGTCTGCCCCTAGTTTCTTTTAAACAGCAGCACGTTGGGTACCCAGAGAATTCAATGAGGACAGAAGGACACCATCCAAAAGTGATTATACCTATTTCCACAGAAGTTTCCATATACCAGAGTTTAGGATTAAATATCCTTTTTGAGAATCATACTTCAGAAGTGTCATGGTATCTAACTCATTCTCTTCCATCCTGTCTTGCTCCTCTCTGATTGTGACTTACTGGGGACCAGATACCCAATTTTACTAGAATTGCACACACTGGACATTTGGAAACAGTAAGGGTCTGTTCCATGAACTTTTGTGTATAACGTTTGTCTCGGTTGTTTGGGATTTTACTGGTTGGTATCTTTAAAATGGCTGAACCTAACAGTTGGTTGCTTTGTGCCTGTTTAGATGTCTCTGGAGCATTTGGATAATGTGACAATTGGAATGCAGTGATGTCGACTCTCTGCCCGCCACCATCTCCAGCTGTTGCCAAGACAGAGATTGCATTAAGTGGTGAATCACCTTTGTTAGCAGCTACCTTTGCTTACTGGGACAATATTCTTGGTCCTAGAGTAAGGCACATTTGGGCTCCAAAGACACAGCAGGTTCTACTCAGTGACGGAGAAATAACCTTTCTTGCCAACCACACCCTAAATGGAGAAATTCTTCGAAATGCAGAAAGTGGAGCTATAGATGTAAAGTTTTTTGTCTTATCTGAAAAGGGAGTAATTATTGTTTCGTTGATCTTCGATGGAAACTGGAATGGGGATAGGAGTACATATGGACTATCAATTATACTTCCTCAGGCGGAACTTAGTTTCTACCTCCCACTTCACAGAGTGTGTGTCGATAGGTTAACACATATTATCCGGAAAGGAAGGATATGGATGCATAAGGTAGGTGGTTCTCGAGCTTGCTAATCATTTAAGCCAACTATAGAAAGTTCATTTCTGGTGTATTTACGTGTATTTTTTTTTAAGAAATTATATATAATTAGTGTCAAGTAGTAACTCATTTTGCATCTGTCCTGCTACAGATTGTATGTTCTTCATGCTAACTGTGCGAGGTAGGAGATGGTAGCACCATCTTACAAATGAAAAGCTAAAGCTCACAGAAATTAAGAGGTTACTAGAGTCTGGATTTATCTTGGGAGTCTGACCCTTAAAACTTTTTTTTGAAGATTTTTTTTTATTGGAAAGTCAGATGTACAGAGAGGAGGAGAGACAGAGAGGAAGATCTTCCATCTGATGATTGACTCCCCAAGCTGCCACAATGGACATGGGTGAGCTGATCTGAAGCCTGGAGCCTGGAGCCTGGAGCCTCTTCTGGGTCTCCAATGTGGCTACAGTGTCCTAAGGCTTTGGGCTGTCCTCGACTGTTTTCCCAGGCCACAAACAGGGAGCTGGATGGAGAACGGGGCCAGCTGGATTAGAACGGGTTCCCATATGGGATCCCAGTGCATTCAAGGCAAGGACTTTAGCTGCCAGGCTACCACATGGGGCCCAGACCCTTAAAACTTATTTTTTCTTCCCTTTCATTGCATGAACTTATGTTTCACTTACCCTGTAAATATAATGGTTCAAAGCTGTAATTTGATACTTTCTTGACCATGCATTCTTTGATCTGTTTAACTTCTGTGCCACGTTCCTAAGTTTATAAATTCGAGTTCACTAAATAGTTTCCAAGAGATATTGTGTTTAATTCATGCATATTAAACTACAGACAATTCTTTTTCTAAATCGTGTAATTTAATACATAGTGATATTTACATTTCAGAATACTTTTGGTATATCTAAAGAACAAGTTTAATTCTCCTTCCTACTCTTCCAGTTTGATACTAACCTAGGAGTCCTTTACAGCATTATTAATTGAATTAATTTTATAGAGCTGTTATTCAATAATAAAGAAAGCTAGCATCTTAGGAGATAGTTTTTTACTTTATTTACAACTTTGTCTCCTTATTTCTCATGTTCAAATCAAGAAATTACATTTCTCCCAACTTGATCTTATTTAATTTTGAAAAGTTCAAGTTATTTTCCTTTTTGAAACTCCAACTGCTACATTGACAGTTTTGTTTTGTTTTGTTTTGTTTTTTGTTTTTCCTTCATTGTGGAATAAAGAATGCTTTGGATTTAGGTTGTCTCTGAGAGCATGGTTTGTTGAGTTAATTTCCTGCCTCCTTTTCCTGGAGTTTAAAATAATTTTCCTGTTAATTAAATTACACAAGAAATATGCACATCGGAAAATGAGAAGTATCCAAATGTGGGTTTTTAGCTTTTTAAGATGTATCTTCTTTTGCTTAGGAAAGACAAGGAAATGTCCAGAAGATCGTTCTAGAAGGCACAGAGAGAATGGAAGATCAGGTAAAGTACACATTGCTTACTGTTAGATATACCACCATTCCTGTTGACATATGTCCATGTAAGGCTGGTAACGACTTTTCTAATGGCCTTGAGGAGAAATTAGCTTCACAAAGTGGGTCTGAATATGAGCAGAGACATGGTGAACTGTATGAAATAACTGGCTAATAGTTTCCATGTAATTCATCTGAGGAGTTAGATAAGTAAATAAACTAATAATTGCATCTATGCACAAATATTTTTCTCCTTTTATTCTGTTTGTACAGAATAACTTTTGGGTAACTTGTTACTATTAAAAATTGTACATGTAGTTTTCATTAAGGTATTGCCCCTAAACTTTTCTGTAGAAACAGCTGTGCAGTCTTAGATGTAAAGTACCTTAGTGTCTGTCACAAGGAGCACGTCCAGTTCTAAACACTGTATTTCCTTTAAGAGCATTGTGGCACCAGTGTTGTGGTACAAGTTAAATTGCTACTTGCAGTGTCAGCATCCCATATCAAGATACTTGTTTGGGTACCAGCTGCTCAACTTCCAGTCCAGTTTCCTGCCAGTTTGCTGGTAAAGTAGCAGAAGATGACTGCTTGGGCCTCTGCCACTCCCGTGGGACATCTGCATAACCTGAGCTGCTGCATAACCAGCATAAAACAACCCTGTTGTCCATGCAGCCATTTGGGGAGTGAACCTGCTAATGAAAGATACCTGTGTCTCTCCCTTTCAAATAATTCAAAAAAATAAAATGAAGGAAAATACTGTACTGTGTCTTTTAAAACTTAGTTTGCATTTGTCTTCGTGATATACCTGTTTTAGTATTAAAGTCTTTCAGTGATAACCTCCTTATTCTTAAGGCTTCCAGTAATTTCAACTCTAGGAAAATGTGTGAGCTTTGTTCTGTGAATGTGAATGCCCTACAAAGAACAGACTCCAGAGACGAGAAACGTGATTGCCAGAGTGTGGCTTCCTTTGTAAAGAGAAATTCAAATCATTTCAGTGTAAGACAGACAAGAGGTTTTCTGAAAGGGTCTCTCCAGTGGAAGAAGGGTTCCTGTTTTTATTCCCCTTGTCCCTGGCATGCCACCCTTGTTGCTCATTGATTTTTGTTTTTGTTTTTTTGGATTTCTATATTTATTTCTAAAAATCAGAGTTACAGAAGGAAAGACAGACACAAAGAAGGAGAGCAAGAAAAAGCTTCCGTCTACCAGTTCACTCCCCAGATGTCCATATGGGCCAAGCCTAGGGCAAGTCAAAGCCAAGAAATTGTTCCAGATCTTCCGCAAGTGTGGTAGGGACTCAAACATTTGGGCCATCTTACCCTGCTTCTCCCAGTCCAGTGTCAGGGAGCTGGATCAGAAGTGTGTAGTAGCTAGACCACAGAGCACCACCCAAATAAAATGCCAGTATCACAAGCAGCAGCCCAGCCTGCTACACCAGCACGCAGGCCCTTTGTTGCTCATTCTTGTAAAATGCCATTCTTTTACATGTGGCTTAATTGCCTTGGCTCTGGCTCTCCCGACATGGCTGGATCAGAATTATAATTTAAAAAATAGTTTCCTTAAGAATTTGTGAAAGTGCAAGGACACAAACAAGAAAAATACAGAGCACTATAAAGGTTTGTAGTTTACACAGTTATGTTTTTGTAGAGAACTCTCCCGGCCAGATGAGAGGTGGACACTATCAGACCTGCAGTTTCCTCTTTGCTAAGGGCAGCCCGGGTGTTGCCAAGCTGCTGATCAATAAGCAGGGTCACCGCTAACCTGTGGGATGATTAAACAGTTAAGATAAGGCCTCTTAGGACCAAATAGAATTTTGTTTTTACTGAGATCTTGTTTTATTAAATCAGAAACCTGTACTTAATGAATTAACTGCTAAAATCAACTTCCACTTTTAAGGACTCTTGGGAGTGTTATCTTACCTATCTGTTAGGGACAAACTGGAGTTTCTAAAACGGGAAGCATTGTTTCCCTGAAAATTTTGAGTTGGAGAAGTACAAAGAGGAAAAGAAACTTAGAGGGGTTTCTGCCAGAACATTTTTTTTGTGTTTAGCTATGTAGAATTTTTGTCTTAATTTAAATATTTATTTACTGAAAAGCAGAGGCACAGAAAGAGATTATCTATACACACACTTAGATAATATTCCATATGCTGTTTCACTCTCCAAAGGACACAACAGCCAGACCTGAGCCGTGTCGAAACCAGGAGGCAGGAACTGGCTCTCGCAAGCGGGTGGCCTGGTTCTGGGCCAGCTAGCTTCTGTTCCCTTCCCAGGTGTATTAGGAAGCTAGTCAAAAGCAAAGCAGCTGGAACTGAAACTGGAACTTTACTATGAGACATTGTCTGCTTAGCCCACTGCATCGGTGCCTACCCCAGGATGTCTTTGTTGAGCTTCATTGAAGATGTCCATTTGCCAATGATGAAAAATGTCTGAGGTAGCATATATAAATTGCATGTGGGCCTAATTTTTTTAGTTATTGCTTCTGGAGTTGTTACAATCGAATCCTTGCAAATCCCACATTGTTTAATTTCATTAACTTTATTTTAAAGAATAAATACTGCTTTTGGATGAAACATTTTTTGTGCTGATTTTTGGTGCTTGTTACTGTCATTTGCTAGTATCTTTACAAGGAAGGAAGTTTAACACAGAATCAGACATTATTGTTGCATTGCATGTGCTAATTATGAACAACATTTTAAAGAATAAAAAAACAATGGATGTGATTAGTTGTAGAGAATACTACAGGATATTTTTAAATAATAGGACTCCCCATTATAAGCATATGGATTTATGGTTTAGGATAACATTTCCAGAGATATTATTGTATTTAAATTCTCAGTTACTTTATAGAAGGGGCTCTGAAAATACAGATTATATCAATCAAAAATGTGTCTGGTTATGACAGCTTTTCATTTGAAGGTTAATGTGAAGAGCGGAAAATGATTTCCAGAGAGGCAGATATCTAGCAAATGGTTCCTATGTCCCATGTCAGAGTGCCTCTTGGGAGTCCCACCTGCTGCCCATCCAACTTCCTGCTCCTGCACACACTGGAAGGCAGCAGGTGCTGCCATCCCTCAGGGGCCTGCCATCCCTCAGGGAGCCCTGGAGTGAGTTCCAGACCTGACCAGTCCACAGCTGTTGGAGGCCTTTGCAGAGTCTGCCTTCTGTCTCTCTATCTTTCAAATAGATAAGTAAAAAAATAATTTAAAGATAACTTTGTGAAATTTCAGGGTGGGAAAACCCATTGTTAAATTTACTTTAAATGATGAATGATTTTTAAAATGGATATAGCTAAAAATTGGTAAGTGTTAGACAGTTTTCTGTATCTATAAGTTTATGATTATATGATTATGATTATAAATCCTATGGGAAATGGTGTTAGTGAATAAATGAAGAATCATTGGTAGTTGAGATAATTTACATTTGAGTCTAGATATTTTAAGATGTGATAGTTATATTCTGAAAAAATTCTATAGGAAGCTTCTGTGTTTTATTGATTCCTTATATATATGTATAATGATCTTGATTTGCATTTATATGTTATCATAACTTTTTTGTGAACTGTCATACCCAAGTTAAACTCTTACTGCTAAGTTATTTGATAAGGATTTCAAAGTCTTTCTGTTGGGCTTTCCTTGTTTTTAATTATGGAATCTAGGTGACCTTTAATTAAGAATTTTGTAACTCAGTTAATTCCGGAGCAGGTACTCTAAACTTGGCTGATGAATTTAATTACTTCCTGTAAGTGATAAACCAATGATTCAGTGCTCACGAAAGAAAATTTTCCCTTGGAAAGTGAAAATTACCTGTAAGTCACATATAAAACCATATTTTAGAGTAGTAGATTTATTTTGGGCTGTGTCTGAACAAGTTACCAAGTATTCCCATCAAAAAGGATTATTCTTTGCTTTCATGTAAAGTTATTTATTACTCCCACCCTTGCATATTATGTCATTTTCTTCACTTTCTTTTACTTTATTCCACAGGGTCAGAGTATTATTCCAATGCTTACTGGGGAAGTGATTCCTGTAATGGAACTGCTTTCATCTATGAAATCACACAGTGTTCCTGAAGAAATAGATGTAAGTTCTTAGCGGTTTTGCCCTTGATTGACTGAGTTAGAGTACTGTATTATATTCTCACAGATCTAGTCACAGATATATCACAGATATAGTGATAGTCTAGTATTGCATATTATGCTGCTACTGTTTTTTGAAGCTCTAGTTTCAAACAAGCACCCATGAAAGTCAGTGGCTGTTTTGATCATTGATAATTACTACAAAATTTAATATAGTTTATTTGACAAGATTTATGTTTCCTTAAATGGAAGGATTCCACACCTAATAGAAAATATAAGTAATTAATGCAGTATGTTTGAAATGAAGTAGTGTACAAATTAGTAGCTATCAGTGGAAGCTAGCATTAAAATGAGTATTTTGATTCTAACAGATAAGGGGAAGTTATTATAAAAACTGTTGCTTTTACGTTTGTTCTTCTGAAAGTTAATGCTTGGGGGTTCTTCTGTTGGTATTCTCGTTGCTCAGAGATGAAGGCAATGTGATATATTTCAGCAAACATATATTGAAAGTTTTGTTTCAATACTATGCTTACTATGCTATAACTTTTTTTTTTTTTTTTTGGTGGGGGATGCATTTAGATAGCTGACACAGTACTCAATGATGATGATATTGGTGACAGTTGTCATGAAGGCTTTCTTCTCAAGTAAGGATTTTGTTTTTCTCCCTAAAACTAGATAAGGCACATAAAAATCTTATGCTTACCTAGGAAAAGATTTGGAAGGAAGGAAGGAAAAAAAATTATTTTGATACTCAGTCTATTCTAAATACAACATTGCATATTTGAAATGTTTAAATGTGTGCTACTTTGTCAGTCATAATGTGTCTGAGGTAGATCTGATGTTACTCAGTTGCTATTTTAGAAATTTGATTTCTGTTGTGCTTGGATGAAAATCTTGATCCCATTTGTTTGTTTCTGGTTTCTTATTTTACTTCTCATGGAAGTTGAAACTAAAACCCTTACAAATTAAGTCACATTGATTGGGCTTTGCATTTACATGGCCTCACATGTTACTTAAGCTTAAAAAGAGACTTATTTCATACTTGTACTGATTTTTTTCTGTCTAGAAATACAATTTTTACTACTTATAAATGTGGGCTCTAAAACTGCTGTGTAATCCTAGGCAAACTCCCTGAATTCTCCGTGCTTCTGCTTCCAACTTGAAATAATAACAGTTATGAGTATTGAGTAAGGTGAATAGTTTAAAGCACTTAAAGCGTTGCCTGAAACGTGAAAGCATTTGATAATAGCTAATAGCTGATGTTTTCTATTTATGTATTTCCTAAAGGAAATGGTAATAATTAAAGTCAGTGTTATCTGAGTGCCTATACATTAGTCCCTGTGTGCAGTACTCTACATATTTTATCCCATAATCTTTCCAAGTATTTTTTCAGGATAGCAGATTATCATAAAATTTCATTGTTAAGGTGATAAGCGAAAAATAATCTTTCCGTTTATGATGGAAATCATATCATGATGGAATGTGAGAGGCATGAGTGCATTAATGTCTTGAATCTGAAACACTTGAGGCCTGAGTTTAGTCATTCATATATTGCTTTTAATATCATTTCACTGTAAATAAATCACTTAACCCCTCTACCACATTAGTTTCTTCAGCTGTCATATGATGTCTTTGCCAATTGGGTTACTTTAAGGCTCAAACAAGAGAATCCCTGTGAAAGCCCCTGGAAAATATAAGATCAAATACACATAAAAATGACATTCTGTGTAAGCCTTAGAGTTTATTATACAAAGCTATCTGAGTTATTTGGAGCTAACTTTTTCTGGTGTTGTTTCTGAAATTGTTTTAAAGTCAGCATTTTTAAATTATTTTCTTACTTCACAGTGCCATCAGTTCACACTTGCAAACCTGTGGCTGTTCGGTTGTTGTAGGGAGCAGTGCAGAAAAAGTAAATAAGGTACTTTATTTTATAATATTATTACTGCTGTTAGTATATCATGGGTTGTAATTTATATGTAAGGTGCTGATTAAAGTGGTCTAATGGGGACAAATGTGTGATGGTGCAGGTGAGACACTGCTGGGATGTTTGAGCACCTGAGTTGCGGTCCAAGCTCCATTCCAGCTTTTGCGTTTCTGCCGTATGCACTCTTGGAGATCTCCCATGGTAGCTTATGTCGTGGTGCTCTGTCACCACTTGGGAGACTTGTGCAGAGCTGCACGTTCCTGATTTTGACCTGGCCCAACCTTGGCTATTGAGGGTATCTGGGGTGTGAAGCAGCAGTTGGCTCTCTCTTTAAAATAAGTAAATTTTTAAAATTATACAAGTATTTTAATAGTAAAGTGTTACCAAATTATTGTGATTGTGGCAAAAATGAGTTTGAAATAAGCTTTTTAGAAGTCATTTGTTACTTCTGTTATGATAACTCACTCATAAATGCCAGTCCTGGTTGTATATAAATGATTTTGAGAATATTTTTAAATAGATATTTAAAATATCTTTTCTTTTCCATTAATATCTTTAAAATATATGAAGAAAGCCATATGCTTCTGGTGCTGCTATTAAAACATGTTACCTGATTATTCATGCTGTTAAGTATCAGTGGAGATATACTTTATTCAGTAATGTTTCTGACCACTTCCATGAGTACTAAATGAGGTTAAAAAATGTATCACAGCTAAATTTCCAAATGCAGGCAATAAACTAAGCGATTTTCATTTTTCTTTCCTGGCCATTAATTAGAATAAGCTGTGTTAACAATTTATTGAAAGTTTTCACAGGATATATTTTGGGGTTGAGTATTTGTTTAACAAAGACATTAATAATTCATTTTTACTTGTAATAGGCTACTCTGCACTGAAATGAGCCTTAGTTTTGCAAAATTCTATTTATCATAACTGTTTATGAGATATTAATATACCTACATCATATTATAATTATAGTCTAGTGAACTTATTATGTTTTTGTCACCCTAGGAAGTTAGCTTCTCATCTCTGACCCCCAAAATCTTAGGGTCCCACAAGGGATTTTCGGTCTGTTTTTTCAGACACACAGTCATAGGGTGGGGCTCTGCATTGTTGCTGCCCTCTGTCCTCCTTCGGAAGAATGACCTCACTTTTACCTTTTTCATTTGAGGAAAAGTTGCCACTATTCTAATTTAAAAACTTCTTCAATTAATAATTCTGGATATGGTCTGGATCCAAAAGTAGTTACATGATATTTCTTTTTCCTAATAGGGCTGTAAGTCAAATCTTTTTTAAAATTGGAGATTTCTACTCCTCCTCTGACTAATTTTTTGTTTTTGAAGTCTTTTTTTTTTTTTTTTATAACTGGAAAGGCAGATCAGATTTATGGAGAAGGAGAGTCAGAGGGGAAGATCTTTCAGCTACTGGTTCATTCGTCAAATGCCTACAATGGCCAGAGCTGAGCTGATCCAAAGCCAAGAGCCAGGAGCTTCTTCTAGGTCTCCCATGTGGATATAAGTTCCCAAGGACTTGGGCCATCTTTTGCTGATTTCCCAGGCCATAACAAATAGCTGAATGGCATGTTGAGCAGCCAGGACACAAACCAGCACTCGTTTGATATCCTGGCGCTTGCAAGGTGAGGATTTAACCGTTGAGCCATTGCACCGGACCCTTGTTTTTTAAATGCTTGTTTATTTTCCTCTACTTGAAAGAGCAACTGAGACAGAGACCTTCCATCTCCTGGTTCACTCCCCAGAACCTACCTCAGCCAAGGTTGAGTAAACCTGAAATCAGGATCACAAATTTTCATCTGGGTCTCTCAGGTGGGTGACAGGGGTGAAACACCTGAACCATTATTTTCTGCCTTCCAGGAAGTTAGATCCAGATGTGGGCCTCCTCCAACTCTGGGCAGCTTAATCCAATGCACCACATTACACCTACTTATTTTAAATTGGAAAGAGTATTTCTCTGACAAAACATTTGTATACCCACTGATACTCATTATAGTAAGTTTTGTAGGTAGAACTATGAAACAAGCTATAATCCTGACAAATGTAAATGTAGTTAATTTTTACGTCCAAAACTGTTGTTCCTGGATAGAGCTATAGTGATTAGTACTAGGTCATTTTAAAATAAAGCCTGTGTAGTGAGATGAATTTGTGAAAGTCTGTGTTATATCGCTTATTCACAAAGTCATAATAATAATATGAATCCAAATATTTTTAGGTACTCTACAGTTAATTTATCCAACATTTTCTCAACTAACGCAAACTACAGAATCTTTGTTTTAAGCAGTAACCATTATATTCTATGCCTTAGGAATGCCTAAGTACCAGTGTATGTTTTTTACAACAATCAAAATTTCTTTCTGTATTTCTTTCAAAAGGATACCAATGGTCTTTTCATTTCATGTTTTAATGCTAAAAATCTTTTCTTTTATAGATAGTGAGAACTTTATGCCTTTTTCTGACTCCAGCAGAGAGAAAATGCTCCAGATTGTGTGAAGCAGAATCATCATTTAAATATGAATCAGGGCTGTTTGTACAAGGCCTACTAAAGGTATAGTTTCCATTCAGCATAACTGGAACCAAGTTTTTAAAATCTTGGGGCCGGCAACGTGGCTCATCAGGCTAGTCCTCCGCCTACAGTGCTGACGTCCCCATGTGGGTGCCGGTTCATGTCCCTGGTATAGACTGGGAAAGCAGCAGAGGATGGCTCAAGTCCTTGGGCCCCAGCAGCTACAAAGTAGACCCAGAAGACGACCCCGGCCTGGCTTCTGATTAGTTCAGCTCCGGTTGCTGTGACCCCCTTGGAGAAAGTGAGAGGAAGCTCTTGGCTCCTTACTTTGGATCAGTTCAGTTTTGGCCATTGCAGCCACTTGGGGAGTGAATCAGCAGACAGAAGATCAGCTTCTGTCTCTCCTCTCTGTAGTCCTACCTTTCCGATAAAAATAAATAATATTTTTTTAAAAAAAAGAAAACTAATGATATACTGAGCACTCCTGTTACTAAAATTTTGTACTCAATTCCAATGAATATTTTTGAGTACATTCACATAGATGAGGGTGGGCATTGTGTCCCAGCTGATTAAGCTGCCGCTTGGGACACCCACATTGGTTGAGAGTGCTTCCCATCAGGTGCTGCCTCTGCCTCCCTGAGAGCAGCCAGTGGCGATGTGTAACATGCTTGAGTCCCTGACGTGGGGTCCAGATGGAACTGTTAGAAAGCATTAGTACAGATGAATTTGTTAAATCAGAGCCAGGTTTTTTACATTAAAGAAATAATTCTTATGTCATCTGGCATATAAGATAGTAAATATTATTTTCCTGTTGACAGGATTCAACTGGAAGCTTTGTGCTACCCTTCCGGCAAGTCATGTATGCCCCGTATCCCACCACGCACATAGATGTGGATGTCAACACGGTCAAGCAAATGCCACCCTGTCACGAACATATTTATAACCAGCGTCGATACATGAGGTCAGAGCTGACAGCGTTCTGGAAGGCCACTTCGGAAGAAGACATGGCACAGGATACTATCATCTACACGGATGAAAGCTTCACCCCCGACTTGTATGTACCGTCCAGCCTTTTTAAACGTACATTTTCTTTTCATAACAGAGAATGCATACTGTAGACATACCAATAATACAGTATACACGCAAGAAATGCACACATATGAAGTGTCAGCTTTTTTGGTCACCTGTCACTCATCTCCACCCACGATAAGAGCAAAGCATGCTGAATGCCCTGATTCCTCACTTCCTTGCCCCCACCCTGTGTATCTTTTTTTTTCTAATTTGTGAAAAACAGTATATTGCCATTTACATGATGTGATCCAGTGAAGCAGTATTATAATTATATACCAGGTGATATGACATCCACACAATTTCTGTACTCTGTAAACTACCACAAGTCCCAGATGTGGGGCATGCTCCGAGGGTCTTGCTCAAGTGGTTCTGATAATTCAGCAGTTCTGAATTGCTGCCACTCTCACCACTCCAAGCACGGTGCGTTTGTTGGAGAGTCCACTGATCAACACAGTCCATTTTCGAGTCTCTGTTTGCCCAGTATTTTTATTGCCAACATATAGCTGAGGTGGTTGATTGACTTGTTCTGTCCTGTCATTTGATGGGTAACGTTCTGAGTCCGAAAGCTTGATTGGGGGGATCCCCAAAGAATCTTTGTCTGAGGTGTTCCCAGACAAAGGTGTTCCCAGACAAATGTTTTTAAAAAATATTTGAAAGGCAGTGAGAAGAGAGTTGCGAGGGGAAAATTTTCCATTCACTAGTTCACTCCCTAAATGGCTGCAACAGCAGGACTGGACCAGGCCAAATCCAGAACCAGGAACTCCATTCCATCCTGTCCTCCTCCCACACGAGTAGCAGGAACCAAAGTGCTTAGACCCTCTTCTGCTGCCTTTCCGGAGACATTAATAGGGACTGGAAGCAGAGCAGCCAGGACTGGAACTGGCATTCCAACATGGGATGCTGGCTGACCTCAAATGTGCTGTCTTAACTGGCTGCATCACACTACCATCCCCTTCTTACTCATTGTTAGCCAGTTTTGAAGACTTGACAGACTACCTTAGTCTACTGTTCTTATTATGTCGATCATACCAAGATGATGTCATGGGTTGTTGAGTTTATTTCCAAGTCTAAATAGATTTTCTGAACAAGAAATTATCCATTAGTAGTATTTTCAGTCACTAGATAGTGTTTTGTTAACCTTTGCGTATCATAGACTCACTTCACTCTTTATTTTAAACAGTGTTTTTTGCTTTGGGGTTGTTTTTAACCTTTAGCTTAAAAGTAACTTCAGTCGTTGCTAATACAGTTAAAAATCAGCCACTGAAGACAATTATTTAATATATGTGGCTTTATTCAGTTCCCGTAGGAATACAGTATTCATTCAGTGAGGACAGTGCTCTTGAACAGTCTTATTCTCTCCCAGAGCCCATGAACGGGTACTGTCAGTGCCCAGTGTAGTGGTGAAATGGGAACTGATTCTTTCTGTAGACTGATACACCTGTCTCCTCAGACTGGGAAGCTGAGGTACTTTGCTCTACTTCTGTGTATATCCTTCCTCTTTCTCTGCCGTGCCTGTCAGTTATATGATGATCCTTACTGTTTTGTCACTTACTGTGTGCTATAAATCCTGCCCTGTGTGTCACCTCAAGAAAGTGAAAGAGAAATGGAGTCCAGAAAAAGGATAGTCTTTGAGCTCATTCCGTGCCTGACTGTAGTGTTAGACAGATATTGTCTCAAGAAGGTGTTACGTTTTGAGTTCTTAATCTGGTCACTGCTCAGATAGGCGATACTTCTATGGGCAGCAGGTTCATGCTGCGCACATTTAGTGGGCTTCTTGCTACAAATTAAATGAGAATGATATTGTAAATTATTACCTGGGTGTGTTCTTTATTCCCACTCAAATGTCCCTCATAGCGTTTATTCTTGATTTGTTTGGCGATTGGAGGGAAGATAGTTGGAATTGGTAGTTTATTTATTGGTTGCCTAATTCGCTCGGCTTTTTTTTGGTAAATTGGAACTATCGTCTTACAAAATTAAAGTTCAATTAAAGTAAATATGTATTTTATATCTCCAAATATGTACATCTTTAATCCCACATAATTATTTGTATGCAATATGTCATTTGCAAGAATTTATTGGCTTGTATGAGAGTTGGTACAAAGTAGTATTTTGTAGCCATTTCAACATTTGGACTTTTTTCTTTTCCTTTTAGAAATATTTTTCAAGATGTCTTACACAGAGATACTCTAGTAAAAGGCTTCCTGGATCAGGTAAACATTAAATCTGAGATTGTCAGAGCAAATAATATGACATGTTTTCTTTTTTAACCTATTCTACAATGCCAGTACAACAGTATGAAACATAGAATTAAGTCCTGTTTTTGAATTCTAAGCACTGCCCTGTAATACAAAGATCTCTGCTTTTTGAGGGGACAGAAATTTTTCTTTCTTTTTTTTTAACTTTTTCCATTTTTTAATTATATTTTTGACCATCTTTACATAATTAGGGTAAAAAGGTTCAAGAGCTACAGGAAAGTGGGTAAGACTATTTTTTTCATATTGTTTCCTTCATGTATCTGAGGTGAAGGGGGAAGCCCCACCCAGTCTCTTACCCACCCCAGGTCCCTGATACAGGGCACGCTCCAGGGTTCTTGCTCAAGTGGTTTTGATAGTTCTGCAGTTCTGAGGTCGTTGAAGAATCCATTGATTGACATAGTCCATCATAGAGGGACAGAAAATTTTCATTTGCCTTAATTAGGCAAAAGCATATTTTCTAAAACGTGGTGTATTTCTGATTAAGTAATGGCTCCCCCTGCACTCTGCCACCGCACAGAGTTCCCAACCCCTGGAGTATGAATATATGATTATCGAAAAATCGTAGTCTAAGATAACTCAGTTCCAAGAAACTTTGATTTTCTTTGAAGATTTCGGAAGAGAAAGTTAAATAATAGCAACATGAAATAGTTTTCATAATGATTTTAATAAAAATGTGAATATATATTCTGGTTTAGGAGATTAAATAGAACCTTCTTCAAAAGCCGTTGGATTGTTTGCAGGCTCTGTGTTGCCAGCGTGGTCTGCCTGCTGAAGGCAACAGTGGACTGCCTGCTGAGGGCAACAGTGGGCGTGCTCTGAGAGATGGCTCTGCCAGGTGTTGTGGGCGTGCTCTGAGAGATGGCTGTGCCAGGTGTTGTGGGCGTGCTCTGAGAGATGGCTGTGCCAGGTGTTGTGGGCGTGCTCTGAGAGATGGCTCTGCCGGTGTTGTGGGCGTGCTCTGAGAGATGGCTCTGCCGGTGTTGTCTGCCGGCTTGTAGAAGCAGAGCAACCAAGTAGAATGAGAGCAAACTGCATTAAGCCGGTTTGTTTTCCTGCAGGTCTTTCATTTGAAACCAGGTTTATCTCTTAGGAGCACCTTCCTTGCACAGTTTCTACTTGTCCTTCACAGAAAAGCCTTGACACTAATAAAATACATAGAAGATGATACGTGAGTAAAACTGTCCACCAGAAAAACTTTCGTACACTTTATTTTGTCTTGATCCATTTTGACACTCTCTATGTTATTATAATTTGGTTTTTTGTTTGTTTCTTTTTCTTCTTTTCATTGTTTGTAGGCAGAAGGGGAAAAAGGCCTTTAAATCTCTTCGGAACCTGAAGATAGACCTTGACTTAACAGCAGAGGGCGATCTTAACATAATAATGGCTCTAGCTGAGAAAATTAAACCAGGCCTGCACTCTTTCATATTTGGAAGATCTTTCTACACTAGTGTCCAAGAACGAGATGTTCTGATGACTTTTTAACTGTCTCACTGGTTAAGTATATTTCATTATAATCATGATTGCTACTCAACATGGCTTGGTGGGAAACTCGTTCCCCCAGATGACGCCTCCGAAGTCCTTCTCAGCAATTGCAGTTACACTACAGCTGTCACAGAAAGTCTGTAAAGGAGTGTCAGGTGCATCCCTCCATCGGATAGCTCTTTTCCTAGATGTGCTTTCTTGGGACATAGACTTATGTTTACACTTATAAAAGTATTCTTGTTGGCGTTTAAAGATATAACAATAGGGTATAAACTTGACCACAGATACTGTTCTCGGCAACTTCTGTTTCACAGTTTACATGTATATCCAGGTCAAATCTGAGTTAACTTTCAGACGGACTACTAGTTGACTTCCAGCTTCTGTTGTTCCTAGGTATATGGAATTACTACAATACTTTGGAAGTCAATTGAAAATTAGAGCATTTAAATCGTTTCAGAAAGGAAGATGGCTTAACCATTCTGAGATTTGGAGAGAAAATACTGGTCAAACAGGCTTTTTTTTATCTAAATAAATTATTAGGTCCTGTTTTGTAGACTTAATCTTTAGGATTTGGTCTACGTAGAAATGTCGAGAGTTATATATAGTCCCTGGTTATGATGAACCACAGTCAGTGCATTTTTCTATTTCTTTTATTGTTGTTGTCAGCATCCTATATATTTGTGCTTTGTCCAAGAAAATATAGGAAATTAAAATTTTATGTTTAGTAGTTGTTGGCTATTAAAAATTGATTTTCATTATTTTCAGCCAAATGGAAAAGTTTACCTTCTGTGCCTTTTTTTTTCCTTGAAAGATATGATTACTTTCCTACCGGTTCAGATTCCTCTGAACAATCATTTTCATCTGATTTTTATTCTTACCACCATATTCCTGACTTGGCAGTCATTGTAACTTCAGGATTATCAATGTGTTAGAGAGTAGGCTAACAAGTTCTTTTTAGGAGCAGAGAACAGTTTCTTGTCTTTTTCATTCTTATGTTTCTTCCTATATTTTTTTAAATTGTTGTTATGTTACCTGCATTGGATAAAGAATAACAAGAGAAGCTTTACTGAAGTCCTATTTTTCTAGGTGCTACTTTGGCAGAACTAAGTGGTCTGTTTCTTTTGTTTCATTAATGTGTTTGGACCATTTTGCTAGCTAAAAAAATGACATAATTCTGTGCCTACAGCATGGAGGACATAGCGATATACACGAACACAAGTAAATAAGTTTGTTTAAACCTGTGGAAGTGACACAAAGGGAAAATGTATTTATTTATAAGGAAAGGTTAAAAGTGACAGTGCCCCTATGCCCTCACCCACCGACTTTAACAAAAAAGACACGGTGTGTTCTGAAAGGTCTTAATAGCTTTTATTTCATGTCATATGTAGATGTCTTGATGTTATGGACACACATTGAACGTTGAACAAGATCATTAATGTATTCCAGTTCAGTAGTGGACAAATGTGTGGATACCAACCACCTTGTAATGTCCCATCCATGATGCTTTTTCCACAGTGGATTCCTGTTTAAGTGCTGATTGGTTTTGTTTGTTTTGCTGGTTTATTATACTGTTCTATTGAGTGTAAGTTGTACAGTGAAATAAGTTATTAAAGCATGTGTAAACATTATTATGTATCTTTTCTCCTCGATGGAGAATTTTGAATAAAATATCTTTGAAATTTGTCTCTTTTAGTTATTTATTTAGGAAACACAATGGTGACCTTGCAAGATTAATCAGCATCCTGTCCAACTGACATTTATGTTGGATCTAAACTGTCTTGTTAAATTAAAGGTTCCATGTGCCTATAGAATTCTATCATAAAATAATTCTATCATAAAAGGTTCTATAGGATGTTACAATCTCCTTTAAAAATTTTGTTTGGTTTTTTCCTACTTGATGAGCAGCAGGGACAGAGAGAAAGATCTTTTATCTCTGACTCTCACCTTAAGTGTCCGTAAGAAACAGGCTGTGCCAGTGCGACGCCAGGAGCCAGCCCGTTTCTCCTACGTGAGTAATAAGGCTCCAAGCACTTGAGCATCATCCAGTGCCTCCAAGGACTCACTAGTAGGAAGCTGAGTGGAATGTGGGCCTCCTAAGGCGGAGTTTAACCTGGTGCTCAGAGAATTAGCAGATGATGACTGAAGCACGTGCGCCCTGCCACTCACAAGTTGACACAGGATGTGTTTCAGAGCTGCTGGCTTCAACTGCAGCACTCCTGCCATTTTGGCAGTGCGGTGGGGGAAAAACAGCAGAAAGAAAAGATTTCTTTCTGTTTTGGTCTGTTTTTCAAGTAGATAACATTAAATTAATGAAATTACAATTTTTTCAAAAATATCTGAATATCTTTGAATAAATAAAATATTTGATCTAGTAGTTTAGATACAAAAGTTAGGATCCTGGTGTTCTTTATCAGAATGCCTGGAATCAATGCCCACTTTCAGGTTGTGAGTCCAACGTCCCGCCAGTACAGACCCTGGAGGACAGCACTTGTAGCTCATGTGACTGGACGGGGCCCTGACACCCACATGAGAGACCTGGGTTGAATGCCTTTCCTCCTGTCTTTGGCCTGTCCTAGCCCCAGCCACCGTGGGTATTTGGGGGAAGGAACCAAAGAATGGAGTTCCCTCTATCAACCTGTCTCTTTCTGTCTCAAAAAAAAAAAAAAAAACAGAAAAGGAAAAACAAAGATAAATAGCAGGAGGAGAAAAGGTGCACCAAATTAGTACTAATTAAGAGAAAGTTTGAGTGGTGGTATTAATCTCAAGGATAGGGAGAATCAAGATGGTGGAATAGGGTAAGGGCACGTTTAAATGGACAGAAAAACATTTAATCAGAGTGAAGCAGAGAGGACATGTTTCGGGAAATAGGAAAGGAGAGACCAACAGTAAAGGGGTACCTGGAGACTGACAGACACAGGAAAGCAGCAGACACAATGGTGTGGTGTTGCAGTGACTGATACTCTAGCGGCATTCAGCTAACAGTAATCTGAAATGCACCAGCAGCCAGAACTCCACCAGCAACCAGTTGGGAAGGGACTTTTACTAGTAGCTTGACAGGTGTACCAGGACAAAGAACTGTCCGTCCTGTTGGTCTGTTTGATTTGACCAGGAGCAGAGACAGAGCAGCAGATCTCAGATGGGCAGTGAGAACAGGGTGGATTTCATAGCCCAGTCAGCCCACTAGAGCCAAATTGGGCGCCATTTGCGTAAGGTAGAAAGGGCAAGGGAGAGGACTGAGCATGCGCTGAGCTGGGAGTGAGCTCATTTCTGACTTGATGAATTGCAACGATGTGGCATTCTACAGGTTCCACCCAAGACAGGTCTGGGTAGCCCTTGGATCTGACAGCCAGCAAATCAAGAACTGTAGTGGTGGTATGTCAGGCACCATTTTGTGCACTGTGGCAATAGCTTTGGGACTGCAGGGGACAACATGTGCTGAGCTCACAAAAGCTCGCTGACTTCCATGGATTGCACTGGTCCCAAAGGAAAATAATACCAAGTGTGGCATCGTATGGGTCAAAATAGGTCCATGTGGCACCCAGACCTAATGTCCCACAGGTTCCGACAAGATCAGCACCACCAACAACCTAACTATATAGGATATCTGGTGTCTCTCTAATCCTGGGACCTGCTCCAACCAGAAGTGGAAGAAAGGTTACAGAGACAACGGTGCAGCCTCAGCACTGTATCACAGGAGGTGGTGATTGGTGAGCCAAGAACTGGGGCTGTGGAGACCATGGTGGAAATCTGACATAAGAACCCAGACCTGGAACTCACTGGAGGTTGTGGCACAAGTGACTGCAAGCAAAAAGTTGTGTACCAACTGCAGCAAGTAAAATTGCACTGTAGACTTGTGGGTGACACAGCTTAGAAACCTGCCCCAAGGAGAAGACTCTGCTAACCAGAAGTACAATGATCAAGAGCAAAAGAAGAGACAAAGGCACAATGAATATTACCGAAAACTCCCCTGCAAAGGAGCAAAATCCTATGCCAACCTCAGAGTTAACTGAGGAAGACATCAAGAAAATGGGGGACACAGAATCCATAAGACTCATTTTAAAGATTCTGATAAAAAATGTGAAGCTCATGCAAGAGTTCAAAGAATTTAAGGAAGCAATGTATCAAATCAAGGCTTATATATCAGAAATTAAGAACACAGTAGAGCAAATTAAAAGTACAGTGGAGAGTCTCCAAAATAGAATGAAGCAAGCAGAAGAAAGAATCTCAGAATTGGAAGATATTTCCTGTCACCAGTGGGAAGCAAACAAAAAGCTAGAAGCAGAGCTGGATCAGGCCAAAAAAAGTATTCAAGAATTGAAAGACACTATTAAGAGCTCTAATATAAGAGTTATGGGAGTCCCGGAAGGTGCAGAAATAGAAGCTGAGTTTGCAAATGTATTTAATGAAATAATAAAGGAAAATTTCCCTAATCTACAGAAAGAATTGGGAAACAAGATCCAGGAGGGGCACAGAACTCCCAACAGGCTTGATCAAAAGCAATCTTCACCAAGACACATGATCATCAAGCTCTCTTCAATTAAACATAAGGAAAAGATCTTTAAATGTGCATGTGAAAAACATCAATTGACATATAAAGGAATGCCAATTAAGCTCACAGGAGACCTCTCACAGGAAACTCTACAGGCAAGAAGGGAATGGAGTGACATATTCCAGATTCTAAAAGAAAAAAATTGTCGGCCTAGGATAACATATCCAGCAAAGCTTTCTTTTGTCTTTGAAAATGAAATAAAATTCTTCCACAGTAAAGAAAACTTAAAAGAATTTGCTTCTATCAAACCTGCCCTACAAATGATACTTCAAGATGTTCTCTTGACAGAGAAGAGGAATAGTATCTACCAAAACCAAAGGCAAATGTGAAGAACATCCCAGTAAAATGACAACAGAAGACTAAACCAATGAACAACCCATTCCTAAAATGATAGGACCAAGTACCACCCATACATATTAAACTCTGAATGTAAATGGCTTAAGCTCAATCAAATATCATAGGTTAGTAGTCTGGATTAAAAAACAAAACCCATCTGTTTATTATTTGGAGGAGACACACTTCACCAACAAAAAGCAGTGGAAACTATATCACATGGCTTTGATGTTTTCTGTTAGTTTCATCTCTTCAAAACACTTTCGTCTGATTAAATTATTCAGTGACTTGTAGATCATGCAGTGGCATCATTTTCTGCAAGAAGGTTCTTGATTTTCATTTCTTCAACTGCACATTAGTCATTTAATAGCATGTTATTTAACTTCTTGGTGATGTTAATTTCTTTTTTGTCCCTCATGTTGATTTTTGTGGCTCTTCATTTAAGGGGATATGCAATAGTTGTGTAGTCGAGACTATCATATCCAATAGCATATTATTTAGCTTCATGGCATTGTAAATTTCTATTTTTCTTTCTATTATTGATTTTGTATCATGACTTTTCATTTAAGGGGATGTACAGTAGCTGTGAAATGGAGACTAACATCCAGGTGTGAGGATGCAGTGTAGTATGCATTTCTGCTTCCAGAAAAAGATGGACTTACGATGAAACTGTTTAGTGTATCTTGACAGTAGAATTCTGGACTCTCTGCCATTGTCCAAGCCCGCCATGATGGACATATGACTGTGTATGAAGAACTGTATGTTAGTAATGATATAGAGGAGTTAGGTAGGGGGAGGGAATTGGGGAGGGGATAAGGGAATATAAACTTTATCATAAAATGATAATAATAACAATAAAATGTAAAAAAATCTAAGGATGATTTCAGAGCAGGGAATTTCTTGAATAAAGAGGATTTTAGCATGGTAAATGGGTCTGTTGAGCAAGAGACATGGCAGTCCTAAGTGTTCATTGGCCTAGGAACTGTTTCAAAATATTTTTGAAGCCAAAACTACAAGGAAAAATTAGCAACCCACAGTTATATTCATAATGATAGCTGGAGACAGTAATAGTGGAACAAGAATGCAGCAAGCCAGTACAGATATGTAAGAAAAATTCATTCGTGCCAGCATTGTGGTACAGCAGGTAAAACTGCCACCTGTGACACCAGCATCTCATTGAGCGCTGGTCCGTGTCCTGTTTGTTCTACATTGAATCCAGATTCCTGCTAAATGCCTGGGAAAGCAGCAGGAAATGTCCTAAGTACTTGGACCTCTATCACCTACCTGGGAGACCCGCATGAGGGGCTGGCTTCTGCCCCTACCTGCTCTGATTTTTATTGTCATTTGAAGCAGTGAACCAGCAGGTGGAAGATTGGAACGTTTCTCTAACTCTCTCTCTTTTTCTTTCCCCCTCCATCCTTCTCTGTAACTCTTTCAAATAAATGCAGAAATATTTTTTTAAATTATGTTGACATATTTATATAACACAGTGGTGCCCAACCGCAGATTACATGTTTTCAAGAACACACGGAACGCCTCCCAAGGTACGTAGGCCATGTTCAGAGCCATAAACGAATTCTCAGTAAATGTAAAAGAATTTAGGTCCTAAAAGACTTTTCTGGCCACATTAAAATAAAGGCAGTAGCAGATACTTGGGAAAACCTATAGAACTTAGAAACAGAGCAGCACTTTTCAAAGGTAAGATAATTTCTCAATTGTGTATGTTGGGCACAAGGGAAATGGATTGGATAACAAAAAAATGAAGTCTTAGAGTGTCATGAAGTAATTTTTATGAAAAGTG